AATGATGGATCATTTTTTCCTTCTATCTAGAATTCATTTTCACTACCACTAATTTCCCCAATACAACATTTGACATATTGTAGATGGAGTCATGGCATAATTTCAAAGAAAATAAAAATAAAAACTGAATTTACAGTTAATATCAAATACCTAGACAATACAATAAGAAAACAATATGACATTAAAGACATATTGGATTCCAAAGATGCAATCAATTTCCAGACACAAAATGTACATATAATCTATAAAGACATAATGGAAGAGCACAGCAGCATATCTGCAAGTAGAAAAAATAACAGAGTGAAGATAACAACACTGTAAAGAAAGATGAAGGACAGAAGCGGCCATGATTGAAGCTACAATGGGGCTTTGAGAACTGGATTGTTTAAGCCTAGGGTTTTAGAGAAAGGTTAAATTTTTTGGATTCAAATTTTATCTTCTAAGTCTCAGCAACTCCCTATACTGCCTTTCCAATAAAAATGTCTAGTAATTTGCCGCAAATCATACTATCTCCTAAATCATATATCAAAAACCTATACACAAGCATGATCATAACCCCAAAAAATTCCCAAATTCCCAATCAAGGAACCCTATATAAAAGATTCCAACTCTCTGAAAAGGCACTCATTTTATAAATCGAAGAAGTTAAAACCAATAAAGCAAGGAATTTGCGGAGATAAATGAGAAATTCTAACATCTTGAATGGCTTAATTGTTAAGAAAATGGAGTCAATGAAGATCTTTGTGGGGAATTACTAAGTTAGTGGTAGAAAATTTATGGAAAAATCTAATACACCTGCGTTTGACATATAGTAATACCAACCACCAAAATTGTATCTTTCTGTAGTGGAAACTTAGACGGAATTATGATTTTCTTCTTTGAAGTCTATACCTATAATTTTTGTTAGAGCGGAGTTCATTTGAGATTGGGAATATAGAAGGCGGATGCAAAAATGCAAGGGGAAATGAAAGGACAGATTGTAGCCTGTAGAGGAAAAAAAATAAAAGAACGGGGATTTATGAAGATAGGTTGTAG